CAGACTTGGTCCTGTCTATACGGTCCAGCCACGTGCCTCCGATCCTGTCGGTAGATGCTGATCATGCAGTAGCCTCAGCTGAGGCTACACTGTGCAATGATTTTACAATCGAAACTTGGTGGTTTGATATGTATTATGGGAATCGAGTGTGGGACCTGGGTGTCAATGAGCAGGGGATCAACGAAACGATGTGGGTTTCTTCCGCTTGGGTGTCCTATGTCATTGGCTGTCTACAGAGCCAACAAGATGGTGAGCAGGCTAGGTGTTCGACATTGGCCCCAAGGGTTATCGATGCTGCATAAATAAAAGGGAGAGATTCGAGTCCTTGTGCAAACCAATCGTACAAAGATAAACCCTATGAGCCCTATGCCCGGAGGTCCATACTGCTGGTTATGCTACTGGTGGCAATGGAAGCAGTTCCCATCATTGAAAACCCAGGGAGTTCACTCCTTGCTCGGCACCCCCGCTTTACATGGCTGATCAAGAAGCTACAAGACAAGTTGATCAAAGCGCCTTGCTTGCCAGCTGACTGTCCGTTTCAAATAGTCTATGAACCACTGTGCTACTTGTTGCCCATAGGATACAGGGAAATCGCAGCGTCCACTGCTAGGTCTACCGACAGTCGTTCCACATGAAGCTCTATGGCCACCTCTGCCTCAAACACACTTTGGTTTGGTCGACCTCCCAAGCCATCGGAAAGCTGTACCCCGGGAAGATCAACAAGTCGGTGCACGGCTCGCTCAAACGCACAGTGACTAGGCGGCTAGACAAAAAAGGCCGAGTACGATGGTACGGAACAAGAGACTTGAAATCAACACAGTGCCTGGTCTGAATCAATTGGTCTGAAATTTGAGTCCCGTGGGGCCCAATTGTTTCCCAGCCCATCTGCTCCCAGGGTCTACCCGCCGAAGTTCTGTGGCAAGATTCTGAAGCTTCGTGATGCTCTTCTGGCTGGGCGACCGATCCTGCCGAAGGTCGGGCTGGATATTTACAGGGTATATATACAGTGGGGTCTACAGGGCTTCAGTCCTACGATTGTCTATCTAGTCTATGTGCATGGACATATGTATATATATGTATATAGCTATATCAGTCAGATAGCATTCATGAAAACACTGTCTAAGCTGCTGTGTTCGAGTACATGTATAAGACAATATCAAACAAAGTCATCGTAACTATGAAACAATGGTAGGTAATTAGTTTAATTCAGCAGCATTCAAGATAGAACAACATTACAGGAATAACATCATGAATGGTACTGTTTGGGGTATCTTGTTGAAGCCGCAGACCTATGTCTATTACATGGCCCCCCCCTTAAAAATGAAACATTGTGGGGGGGGGGGGGTACGTAAATGAAACACGATATTCGGTTTCAATTTCATGTTGCATAG